TGGACCAATGCTATTATAGTGCCTATTTATAAAAAGGGCAACCCCTCACTCCCGGAGAACTATCGGCCAATCAGTCTTCTATCAATCATCGGTAAGCTCGACGCTAAACTTCTTCTAGCAAAATTAGAAGACTGGCTAACAACGTGTAACATACTAGGCCCAGAACAAATAGGGTTTCGTCATGGCAAGTCTACCCTTGACCATTGTGCAGTATTGTCACACTTAGTTTCCAAATACAGTGGGAAATATCGGAATAAACTCTTCGCTGCCTTTTTGGAACTTAAGGCGGCATTTGACTCAATCCCGAGAGAATTGCTGTGGGCCAAGTTGGCCAGGTTGAATATAGATCCCAGACTGCTCTTCCTGATTAAAAACCTATACTCATCCACTAGTTGCCAAGTCAGGTATAATCTTCAGGGGAACTTAACTCCGGGAATTCCAATTTGCAAAGGCGTGAAACAGGGCTGTATTCTTGCTCCAGCACTTTTCAACTTATTTTTAAACGATCTAGCCCCAGCCTTATAGACAATCAATGGGCACGCCCCTAAACTTGCTCACCGCCATATTCCCATCCTCCTATATGCGGATGATGCCGTTGTATTGTCATGCTCCCAAGTTGGACTGAAGCGTTTATTACGTCAAACTATGACTTACCTCCATCTTAACGATCTAACATTGAATACCAGGAAAACAATGTCCTATACATTGAGTGTTGGTATAACAAAGGGCAAGGCCCTATCTACCTGTTTAAGGATGGAGAGAAAGGTCCACCCTTTGAAGTGCTACAACACTATACTGCTTCTCCCTTAATGTAGCACATATTTCATGTAAGAGGAGCAAATCAGTGGTCAGTCCCTTTTCCTGCTGGAAGAGGCTTTAGATTCACAAATGGCAAAATCTATTTGATTCTTAGACATGTCCCAACACAAGGGGCAGGCATATCTATTTTGTTCTTTTTGTCCACAATGAAGTGGGTAAAAACAACAAGGTGAACAAAGAAACCCTGTTTGCTCCTTTTTTCTATCCACATTACAGTTGTACCAAAAGAGACTGTACTGTACTGAGTTCTCTGATATCAAAGCGCTCCAGATGGACAGATAGAGTTGTCCTGTACATCTAGGCAATAACACACTTTTCCATTTTTAAACTGGTTCCACACAGAATAGTGTGTCTGTCCGTCTGCAGCAGCGGATGGAGCAATGGGGTGGCTGGAAGTGCCCTGAGTCTTAGCTCTGCTGAGACACCAACTGTTATTTGGCTCTTTCTCTTCCTGGACTGCTTCCATTCAAACTTAATGCTGTATGATATATTATACAGTACAATATAAAGTACCATTGCCTGTGTTTACTTGTTTCCCTCATGACTCGCTGTCCCCTTTTCTCTTTTGTTGTGTTTATTAGATTTTGTGTGGCAACACAGAGTCAGTTTCAGCTGACACAAGATTTCTGAAATAGCAGGATCCCACTGCATTTAATTTATTAAATATTAGTTTATTAGCCTGTAAACTGTTCCTTTTAATTCATGTGCCAACACTTAATATCCTACACTAATGGATCAGCCTAAATCTGCTTTAACCAAGAGCAAATGGTATCACACCAAGACCTTGGACAAATACTCCCTGGTGTTCTTCTCTGTTTCTTCTCTGCAGTTTGGCAGAATTTTCTTTTAAAAATTCTATTAATTATTATATTAGCAGCAGCAGCACTACCATGCGCTGCAACATCTGCCTATACGTTTTATTCCACCTTTTTCTTGTCTCGTGACACAACTAAAAGTGATTGTGTCTTTAATCATCACTTTGGGGTTTTCCAAACGTGCCAAGGGGCATTACAGAAACCCAAAAGACGGAGAACAGTGTTTGCTGTGCTGCCATGGCAGGTTAGAAAAGTAAGCTTGATTGAGATAGAAGCCATAATTATTTGTGCCAATATATGCTTAAAAGCATCTTTAAAATGAGAGCACCAGATTGGAAGGGCAATAGCATCTTGAGTATATTCTGCCCCTGGTGCCACCCAGGACAGAGTTTGCTGTGGGCATGATACTGAGTACTATTTCTAGCCCAAAGTTGGCCTTCTTTCTCTCCCTCACAGACACCTTTCCAGCTTTAAAAAAATACAAGGAACATTGCTAAGTGTGAGGCTTGCTTTGCCTCTCTTTCCTAAGAGAAATTTTGTTTTTTCTGGTTACCAAGTAAGGGACCTATTCTGAGGCCAAAAGGGGAGTGCAAGGGAAGTCTTCCACTTGTCACAATAGATGTAGCTTGGTTCACATTCTACCCATCCCTTTTCCAAGGACAACCCTTTCCGGCAACGGATAGCTGAAGTCTTCTCTGAGGATGGTGAGGGCAACATGACCTTAGATGACTTCCTGGATATGTTCTCAGTGATGAGTGAAATGGCACCTCGTGACCTCAAGGCTTATTATGCCTTCAAGATCTATGGTGAGTGATCCTGGGGATGGCGGCGGGCGGGGGTGCAGCTGGGGATTGTTGTAGAGGAGTGTTGCAGGTTGCATCCATGGCCTTGTCAGCCTTCCAGAGCACAGGCAGCCTCTTGTCATTTGCACTCCCACTAAGTATTGTGAGGAGCCATTAGTGGCTGGAGCACCTACTTGTTCCAATAATGGAAAGGGCAGGCAGCTCTTGAAATGAAATCACAGTGGCATGCAGTGCTAGCCTTGGCAGGCTCCATGTAAGAGTTGCAGAGCAATCAAGGGACAAGAAAAACTGCATTTCCAAGATTTTTAACCCATCATACATTTCTAAAGGTACAAAGAACATCACTGAAACCTCACTGAAGAGTGAACGCCATAGAGGAAGAATATGTTTTAACATTGATTATGACCTGCCATATGTAGGAATAAGACAGGCCTGACATTTGCAGAGGGAGACCAGAGATGGTGAACCATATTGTGAAGTAGCAACCTTATGCAGCAGGTGTCACAGTCCAAGATATCCCAGGCAGCCTCTCACCAGGGGCAAGGGCACCAGGACCCAGTCCACCACACAGGGTATTGAGTCCAAAGACACTCACTGCACAGTTAGTTGTGACTAAACAAAGGCAAGAGCACATGGCTGGGAGCACAGAGCCAGACCAAGGCACCGAGATGCAGGAGGCCAACAGAAGTAAGCAGGGAGGAAAGCAGGGACAAGAACAGGAGCAGATGCAGGAACACAGGAGTAGGTCTCCGGAGCTCAGGAGCTGCTAGGCACCCAGGACAGTAAGCACACAGGGTCGAAGCAGGGTTGAAGAGCTATGCTGCTAAGGCAAGTCCTGGGAGAACCACTCCCAGGACAGGCCTTCCCTCTAGGTTTCCAGGAGAGCCTCATAAGTGGCCCAGCAGCCACTACACAGGACTGGGCCTCAGCCTGCAAACATCAGGCCATTCCTGAGTCATGCTGGCCCCGATCCTTCAGCTGCCAGGGTGGCATGGGCCAGATCGTGACAGCAGATTTAGAGGGTGTGGGCCACATTCCCTAAGCTTCCACAATGTCCAGTCTAAATGCTGGATGAATCCCATCACTGGGCTTGAACTAAGAGTCAATGGCCAATCTAGTTACTTCTGTACATAGGGCATGCAGGGGGGTGGGGAAATAAGTCCTTTGCCTCATACAACATAGTATCTTGGGTTTGTAATCCCACATGGGCAGCAAAGAGATATCATGAAGCATTCCTGTGTTGAACTCAGAGAGTGGACCTTAATGCCAGAGAAACAAGTTAGCTTTCTGTTGGGCTTCTTCTGATACTCCTAAGTGCTCCTTTTAGCAGACTTTAACAATGATGACTACATTTGCAAATCTGACTTAGAGAAGACTGTTAACAAACTGACCCGCAAAGAGTTGACCCCTGAGGAGGTGTGTCTGGTGTGTAACAAGGTGATTGATGAAGCTGACTTGGACAACGATGGCAAGCTTTCCTTAGAAGATTTTCAACACATGATTGTGCGGGCGCCTGACTTCCTAAGGTAATAGAAACCATCCTTCTTCACTGCTTGTCTGCTCTGCCAAATTATGTCTGTGGCATGCTTTACTGGAATGTGCCACATGTCTTCTTCTGAAGGATCTCATCTCTGCTCTCAGCTGAGGTAGAGTGGCTCACTAGATGGTTTGGGCATGGTAGCTGCTGCAGATCACTATAGCTTTAGCTTCAGGATTGAGCATAACCTGTGCCTCTCTCCTTTCGTAGGACACAAACACTTGCCTCCCTTCTCACACTGTTACACTGATTTTTTTTGCTGCCTTATTTCATCAAATGCTTCAGACAGGGAGGTGGCAATTTCTTGACTACATTAATGTTTGAATCTTCTTACCTTTCATGGAAGTTAGAAAGCTTAAAATGTGGTTTGGAACTTTTTTATTTTTATTGTTGTCTTTGGTATCAAATGCTTTCCTGGTAAATGATAAGAAATGCATAATCATTACTCTTTTTTTTAAACAGCACTTTTCATATTAGAATCTGATGCACCACAAACTCTCCAGGAGATAGACAGCAGACAAGTTTTTCTCCTCCTCCTGCTTCCACTGCTGATACTGAAGGTGGATCAGAGGATTCCTGGAAAGTCCTCTACAATATCTAGCTGCCGAGTTCTCATTGGTTGCTAAAGTGAAACCTTCCACTGAGAGGTGCAATAATAACAACAACAACAACAACAACAACAACAACAACAATAAACTTGTTTTGTTTCTGACTGTAGGATTATTAAATGAAGAGCTAAAATGTGACAGGATATATTTTTCTACCTATTAATTGGTTGGTTGGTTGG